ACGGCGACGGCGACCAACAACACTGTGAGATCGGTGGCCAACGTGTGGCTTAAGATGTGATGCAATAGGTGGCGGGCAACAGTTACCAACATGTGCAGCGGGCGACGGAGCCTTGCACAAGTAATACTTAAAAAAATATGTTTTTAAAACAACAAAAACACATTTTTTTGTGTTTTTGATGTTTTGAAAACAAGCGTCATGTGTTTTAAAAATAAAATTTAAAAGAAAAACAAAAAACGAATAAGGAAATACTATTTTTGAGTTTGTTTTCTATTTTTTATTTTCGAAAAAGAAAAAAACTAAAAGCGATCTCAAATAGGGCCCTGGTTTCTTGTGTTGTTTATTTCAGTTTAATACTTTTTGGTTGGATTGTGATAATGTTTATGTTTTTACTTTTGTTAGATTTGATTTTTGTTTACTGTACTTCGTGATTTTTAGTGATTTTTTTTATTATTGGAAGCGATAATGATTTATTGTATAATTTAAAAGAAATGTTGATACCTTCTGACTGCAGCTCTTAACTTGGTTATTTTTAAGCTATTAGGCTGGGTCGGGAAAATGATTAAAACAACTCTTTTGTATTTGACATCATATTTGTTACTAATCTTCTAAAATTAACATTGGTACTAATTGTATGCAGGTTGATGCTACAAACGACCTGCCCCTAGAATGTGTTATTAGGAGAGTGTTCCAAAGTTCTCATGGAGATGAATGCATGCTGCTTTGCCCAGTTGATACGTGAGTTGTACATTCTGTTCGTTGAATAATTTTCAATTTTTTCTGATTAAATTTAATGTCTCTATCACAGGCCAGTGCAAATACTGAAGAGTACAAATTTTAATGGATGGTCAGCTGTACGTGTCCTAACTGTGCCGACCCTTTTATTTTATTTTACTTGAACTACTTTCAGCTTTGATTCAGTTTGGCTTAGGTCACACATACATTGATGCTCTATTATTAGTTTATTAATGTTTATTATGATAAGTTAGCATACCAATCATTACCGCATTACTTTACTACCAGCACAATAGATTGTTATTTGGTTAGCCTGTGGTACTTATTTAACAAAAAACTTGACAATATTCTCTTGACCTTTTGTGTCTGTTTGTGCTCTGATTTGGTGGGTTTTGTATAAACATGCTAATCATGGGATTCAATTGTTCAATTGTCAAAGATCATTGATTCCTTTTATTACCAGAGCAGAAATGACATCTTGATTTCTATCTGCCGTTCAATGATTTGTTATGTCAACATTAAAAGATAAACACAGTTAGTTTCTTAGGGGTCTCACATCAATTGGTTTCATCCGCAATTCCTTTTTTCAAGCGTTCCATTGCAATCTCATAACAATTGCAAATGCCGATTCTGCTAATAACACTAGAAAATTTACTCACTATTGTTGCCATGACGAACGTCTTTTTCATTATCGAAACTGTGCTTTGTCCAACCATTTAATTGCTTTTTCAGCATTCATTTTTGTCAAGATTTGTTTTTTATATTGGTTCTAGTTTAATTGCATCTGTATCAATAACTTTACCTTTGTTAGGATTCTCATCCTTTCCTACTTCTTAGTCACCTTGCATTAGTTTTCCGAAATTTATTTGCTATGATTTTAAAGTGTTTTGGTTAACTCAACATAAGCAAGTGAAGATGGAAGCATGACCGGAGCTGCTAGTAGGAAATGGTAGTTTTGTATTTTTGAGGAATGGATGCTGTGGAAAGAAGGGTTGTGTGATTTAGTGGCACTTGGGCTTGTTGGACTTAACTAGAGTGGAGGCCAAGGTAGGAGGCTTGACCATAGGTTAGGTCGATTGATTGAGAGGGATAAGGCACCATGCTCCTTTTTCTCTTTAATTTCTGGCTTTAGTTCTTTTGATAAATTGATGTGCTTAGTTAGTAGTGTACTTACAATCTCTACCTTTGCTATATTAAAATTATCCAACATCTTTTCCATATACTGTAGATATGAAATATTTAAGGTGCTTGATACCTTGTTGTAATCCATTCTTATTTTTAAAAATTTTTGGCTTCCCCAAAATCTATTTGTAAAATTCCTTTAATAGCTAACTCCTTGAGTCATTGATATAATCAGTGCCAACACTTGCAATTAACACATCTCTCACACAAGAATAAAATAATGCAATCTTTTATTATTCTTCTAATACAGCAACAATAAACAACATTATATCTGCTAAAATTTATTCTATGCTGAATCCATTTTTGGTTGCACCACCGAGTAATTTTTTTCTACCCATAAAATCTATTGTTTAGTTTGTATATACTACTTTCTTTTTTCTATTTCAAAAAAGCCTTTAATTTGCTCCGTGTCGATACCTTTCGTCTGAGCTATCATAAAGGAAAGCTGGCTACAATGTCTTCCTTATGATCAAGGTGTAGAGTCGATGCTGTTACGATGTTTAATTCCGGTCAAATAATTAGTTTAAACACGAGGGAAAATATGTTAGTAAAGTCTGCACTTCATTAATGCTAAAACCTCTATTATACAATAAGCCCAACCTTATAATTTGTCTATTTTTTCCTAACATATGTTATTCATTATTTTTTTGCAATGCTTTTCTACCATTATGTAGCCTGGTTAGTATTAAGTGTTATTCATATAAAGAGACTCCTAATAGGAACGAGATAAGTTTTCACATATGGCTTCATGATAAGCTCACATAGTGTTATTCATATTTTTCTTCCTTCATGATAAGCTCCTACTTGATAGAATTTTGTTGCTCATATGGCTTATGATATCTCTAGGGCTCCTTAAGCAATAGATAATAAATTGAAGAAAAATAACAATTAGTGAGCTTGGGTGTTTCTTGTGACCTACTAACTTGGGTTGTTGGTGTGATAAGCTTAAGCTATTCTTGAGTATCTAATAGGAACGAGATCAGTTTTCACAGAGATTTGGGCAAAATAAAATTTCTTGCTCCTACAGTTTGATAGGTAGACTATTCTCTCCCAAGCCTTAACCCAAATATTCAAAACAATAATCATATGCCTGAACAATAATCTTATTAAGTCCTATTCATACCAAATAATTATAACTAATAAATGACTAAATTTTTCTTTTTGTTTTGCGCCTAAAATAAGTCTTCAAATTATTTGGCAGGCTCATCGTGCACGGGCGGAAGGCGCTGTTCTAACATCATTCCTCTCCCAATAAGACCCATTGCCTTCAAGGTACAATAGAGGAAATTACTGCTGGAACACATTATATGGCTTTTTATATGGCTTCGCGTGGCATCATAATCAAGCAACTATTTGCATTTAATATCACTTTTTCCCATCTATCAATTCATGGTGTACCCCTTTTAACTCACGTGACGCTAAGAGAACTTTCATATTTTCAATCAAATTAGGGGAAGTGATGAAGATGACACATTATCACCAATAGGTCGTCTCAACTATGATATGTGGAACATTGGACGGAGTGTTGATGAAGGCGACAATTTTAAACAATAAGCCACGACCTCAATGCATTTAGTGATCTCATTAGGGGAAAGTATTTAATTGCTGTGTGGCCAAGGTTTTTTGCCGATAGGGTTGAAGTTTTTGATAAACCTTATCTTTTACTACAAACTGCCCATCGCTTTGATATCCGCCAGTTTATTTCTTCAAAATTTTTTCATCTTTCAATAAATGTTCCGAGCACCTTGTGTCTTTCTTTTAAGTGCTGATCTACAAGAGACCAACATAGGATTTTGTCCACAATACACTAAATGGAGTGCATTGCGATCTTACACAAAGGAGTGGCCTGAGAAGTTGTATGATACCGATGCATTGTGCCAATACTCTTCTCAAGATAGCCATTTAGCCCATTGTTTGGGAGTGTCAGATGCAAAGAGCGCAAATAGCTCCCCATGCTCTGATTCACAATTTCAGTCTGTCCATCAGTCTGTGGGTGATGCATTGTACTTTTCTTTAATAAGGTCCCTTGCATTCTAAGCAGATCCCTCTAGAAATGACTCAAGAAGACTTTTATCTCGATGCAACATTATCGATTTTGGAATCCCATGCAAAAGAACAACCTCCTATATGAAAGTAACGACATAAGCAACAATGTAGGGATGGCGTAGAGGTAGAAAGTGAGTGAACTTGCTCAACTAATCCACCGCCACCAAAATGACCGATCATTTTTCTGATCGAGGCAAGCCTTTAATGAAATCCATAGTCATCACCTCCCATACATTCTCTAGTAATGCTAGAGGCTGTAGCAATCCCACGGGTGCTAACACCATATATTTTTGCCGTTGACACACATTACACCTTGAGACCATTACCTTCACATCCTCTCATTTTCACCCAATGCAAATATTCTTCTACCCTTTAGTATGTTTTGAGCATTCTTGAATGCCGCCGATAGCGATGTTGTGAGACTCCTGTAATAACTTTAACATATGTCTTGGCTTTTAGATTAACATAGTGTCCCTGGTAAAGTTGGCCATTCAATGAATAATTGAGATAACTGTTCTCACCATTCAATAAAATCAACCATATCCGGCCCAATTTCTCATTTGCCTCACTCTCTTGTTCCCGGATCTCCTAACCTATGGACCAAAGCGATTAATAATGCAAACAATTGAGGTTCCTCCATCCGTCGTGATAAGGCATCAATGGCATTATTTTCTAATACTGGGTGATACTAAATCTCAAATTCATCCCCCACTAGCTTAGATAACCTTTTTTGATGTTCCTAAGTCACCATACGTTGTTCTAACATAAATTTAAGGCTGCTTTGATCCGTGCATACTATAAAACATCACCTCAACAAATAAGGCCTCCATTTCTGAATAACAAGTACAATCGCTATAAACACTAGCTCATAAATTGACTTATGTCTGGCTCTCACAGTCTGCACTTGATGGAAATAAGCGATGGGTCGTTGACACTGCATGAGGATTGCGCCTAACCTATAATCTGATCCATCCATATCTACAATGAATGGACTAAAGTTAGTTAATGCCCCCACATATACACTCGTCATAGCCTTTTTTGAAAAATTGGGTTGTCACTTCTTCCCATTGAAAGTTATCCTTCTTTAATTGCTCTGTTAATAGCCACACAATTGATCTGTAATCCTTCACAAACTCTCGTTAGTATCATGCATGCTCCAAAAATCTTCTCAACTCTTTCAAGGTCTTAGTTAGTGGCTAATTCACCATAGCTGTCACCTTTGATTTTTCTTATGACAATCCTGCAATCGACTCCACATGTCCGAAGTACTCCACATTTGGTTTGGCTAAGAAACTCCTCTTCAAGTTAGCGTAGAGTTGGTGTTCACCGATTACCATCAACACATGTTGTCTTCCACGGAGCAACTTTACACTAGATTATCGTCAAAGAACGCCAACACAAACTTCTGGAGGAAAGACTGAGATACCTTGTTCATTAGTGATTGAAGTGTAGCCTGGTTGTTGGTGAACCTGAATGGCATAACACTAAATTCATAGCGACCTTCATGATTTCAAAAAACTGTATTTTGCACATTTGATGGCCACATTCGAATCTAATGGTAATCCCGACGTCAAGTCAAACATTGACAAATATGACATCCTCAAACAACTCGTTTAGTAGCTCACTATTCATCGAGATGAAAAATTTATCACGTACTAATTCCTTATTCGTTGTATGATAATCCATACAAAAATACGAACTCCCATCCTTCTTTACTAGCATGACCAGGCTAGGGAAATGGCTCACACTAGGCTGTATTACGCCTTCCTCTAACATCTCTCAGTTCAATCTCTCGATCTTATCTTTCTGCACTTGGGGGTAACAATATGGACACAAATTGATGGGAGAAACCCTTGACCTTAGGGCTATTACATGCTCGTGTTTCCTCCAA